TTTGAGTTGTTTAAATTTAACAATTGATAAAATTGTGAAACAAAAAATACAAATTATTATTATTATTTTTTTTTTGTATTTTCATGCACCAAGGGCAATATTTAAATTGATTTATAGCAAAAGAAAAATGACAACGATGACAGTTTCTATCAATTTTGTGATCATAATTCAATTTAGATTTTAAAAAAATATTATATAGTGATAGACAATTGGAGAAACAACTAAACAATAATTACTTTGACATTGTGTTTCCTTACAAAGTTGCAGCCATGTCTAGCGACAGTAGTTTTACTTGCTTATAATATTTATAGATACAAATATGGTGATCCATTTTTAATTCCTAAGTTGACATACTAATGGAACTAACAATTTTGATTAAAAAAGCAACTTTGATAACCTTTATTCCTACAAACATTTCACATATCTCACTTTAATAGATGCAATCACTATAACAATTGATTCATACAACTTATATTAAATTCATGATATGTTTCATTACCCTACAACACATGCAGCACCCACCTCATTAGATTTTATTTTTATCTTCCCAAGGATCATCAATTTTAAAATTTCTTTAGAATAAACACGTTAACTCTAAAGTTATTTTAAGTGGATAATGATATCAATTTTAACACCCTGTTCCATTAGTCCTACAAGTTGGGTCAATTCTACTACCAACTGTAACACCTTAAAGTGTTTGCCCTGTAAGTCAAACGTGTTAGGATTGTAGATTGGTCTCACCGGTCATTACAAAGTTAACCTAACACCTTCTCAACTCAACTCCAATGGTATTAGATGTATGAACTTTAATTTCTACAAGTAATTGTAATTTTGATTTTCCCTCATTTTTTACAAACTCAAACATATAATTATTTGAATTAATTTTCAACTAAAAAGTTTTGAGTTCAATTTGAATACAACAATCAAATAATATATATATATATATGAAGTGGCGGAAAGTTTGGGACAACATTGTGATTGTGAGAATCCAGCAGATCGGGACTAGAAAATAGAGGACAATAGTGCGCATGTTTGTTACTTGACCTTTTTTTTTTCGGAGAAAATCAATAAATAAAGATGTGGGTACCTGCGAATCAGGAACCAGGAAAATGATGGATAAGGGAAGACGATGACGTTTGAGGCAGAACAAAGTTTCTCAAATGGAGCCTGAAACCCTAAACTCAAAGTGCGGATCAACAAAGAAACAGACAGTGAGGGCGAAAGAAACAATTGTTTTGGCGGATGCAGGGGCTTGGATGTGGCACGGTGACTGGAGTAACGACCGGATGCCAACGGTGAAGTGGACCTTCATTTGTAGAAGACGAAAGAAATAAGAGAAAGTAAGTGGTTTGATTTTTTTATATTGAAATAGATTAGATAGAGTTTGGTCGCCATGGCAGAAGAGAAAATAAGACGGTGAGTTTTTCAAATGAAAGGCAAAATCGTAAATAAGAAAGAGCGTTAAACTGTCTTTTTAAATGACAGATCGTACAAAACTCGAATATATAAGTTATAATATATTTTTATAAAGATCTTTAACTATTAATAACCAAATGTATAGACTTTTACTATCATTTCATATTATTTTTCGAAATCTTATCATTTCTCTAAACAACTTAAGAAATTAAGTTTCATTTAACTATTTGATAATTGGATCCGCTAGATTATTTTTAAACATTAGATAATCTAAAGTGACAATAATTTTTTAAGATCAATTCTTACACAATATGATGTCAACGATCAATATTTTATGAATTACCATTGTAAATTATGTTTTATACTCTTTTCAATCATTGTATGGCTATCACATTGTATTATCATTGTAGCACATGTTTCTTATAATATGAAATTTTTTAAAATTTGTTGAAGTCATTTAACTTCATATTTGTATTTTTAACAGTCACTTGTATTCTAGAAGCATGCAATCTTTTGGGAGATCGGTCAAGATTCACATGTGATTTTGTATAATTGAATTGACCTTGTCATTAAATGCTTTCATCCAAACCTAGGGCTTTTTTTGGACAATATTTGGTTTGTTGTCTTTAGTTCATTATTTAACATGTGTGTGATGAAATGTAGATTAAAGATTTTGGTCACTTTGGCCTATTGACTTAACTCAATTTTTCTTTCACACGTATAGACTAGTTGTTTCTTCTCATATTTTTTTACAAGAACTTTCAAAAACATCATCATTGTTTACAATAAAAGATATTTTCAAATAATGTAATATTTTATGACTTTATCATAGTCATTTCACTTATATTCTAACTTGTAATAAAAAATGATATGTGTTACTATAAAGATCATATCTTACAAATATACAATCGACCATCTTGGGATTGATAGTAATCTTCCCAAGTAGAGTCTGAATGTTTGCGATATTTTTACAACTCATAAAATGTTAGATCTTTACTGTTTAAGAGTCTTATTTTAGGTATAGTTTGCCGTCAATATATATTCCCTTTACATTTTATAGGATAATCTAAAACTTATTAGCAAAATATTCATTGTGTCATTCCATATTGTAACAATTGTAATATTATTCAAGTGCAACGGATATGAGCATTTTGTTTGATCAGTTATACCTTCAAAGGTACAAAATTATCCAAATACAAATATGCACTATCAGTCTCTACCGCCTGAATCATTTTGATTCAAATTTTAAAATGATACTTAACTTGGTTTTTTAAGTTCCAAGACATCTCAATCATTACTGGCCATTAAAGACATTATTGAATAAAATTCATTTAGCTTGATGTTGTTTTCTCAAGAGTTAGAAACTCTTATACTTTTTCATAATTGATCATACATCGATCATTTGATATGCAAAATAGCAAATCATGATATATATTTTTAGTACTCATATATTCAATTATACTTTTTTCGTTCCAAATGATAGTCTTATTTCATAAATAACAATATCATTATAAAATAATATCTATTTTTTCATTGTTATTACACAATGTTATTCATTTTTATACAAATATATCACAATAATATTTTAGTGTTTTTACTATCTACTTTATACCCACTTTCAATATAATACTCTTATTTTTTAAATCCCGTGCAGAATCCAAATGAGATTATTGTTTCGGAACATATGAGATATATATTTTTGAATTGTTGTTACAACTCTTAAGCATTATGTACAAATTAATATACGTTTGTTTGGTTGTTATTTGAAATTGATTTGAAATAGAATATTGATTTGAATTAGTATTTTGATCTGATGTTCTGTAAGAAAAAATAATGTATTTTTATTGGAAACCATGCAAAATAAATAATGTTTATTTTTATTTCAAATGCTAAAAGAACAAACCAATCATATATCACATTTAAAATTAAATTAATATAAAATGAATTTTGTGTGATACCAATTGATCTAGTCCGTTCTAATTCAAAATACTCTTTTTATTAATTTTGTTTGTCTCAGTAATATATATTTTTTTAATAAAGTAAAAACACTTTGTATACAAAAATATCAAAATACCTACTTATACACAAATTACAAAAATATCAATATTTTATTTGTACTTTGTAAATGCAACAATGTCAAATTATTTTACATAATTACACTAATTAATAAAATATTATTATTTTTTAATCTACTTAAAAAGGGCACGTGACCATTTGAAATTGGATGAAAAAAATTCACTGCAAGAAAAAATTATTTCTGTAACAAAATTTTTTTGTCTCTAAATCTACTTTTTCCGTTACTAATGACATTAGAGACGAAATTAGTAATAGAATTATGTTAGCTACATAAATTTTAGGGACGAAATTCCGTTACAAATATATTATTTTTTTTTGTAGTGATTATATAATAAGATTTATAAGAATTATAATAATTATCCTTTTATAATTATTTTTAAATATATTAAATAAATAATTAATTAAAATAAAATTGTTTGAGATTTTTCTACCAACCAATAAAGAATAAAATATATACTCCATTTTTTTAACAAAGTATCAATTTTTTTTTTCAATACCATTAAAAATATTCATACATTTAAATAACATTTTATATAAATGTCATCGCATTTGTATTATATAATATAAATGTATGTATTCTTTTCTCTTAATTTATATCATGAATGAATATAATGTTATTATTCAAAGTTCGTTACGCAAAAAACAAATGAATACTTAGTTAGACGACGAAGATAATATAATATATATATTGAAAATTATATTAATAAAAAATTATTTTGGTAAACAAAGTTTATAGTTTTACCATTTTATAAATTTTTTAAATATATTAGGTAAGTAATTAATTGAAATATATCGTTCGAGATTCTTCTACTAACTAATATCAATAAATATTAAATAAAATTAAAAAAAGCCGTAAAATTTGCCAATTTATTAACTTTTTAAATATAATACGTAAGTAGTTAATTAAAAGTAAAATCGTTTGAGATTCTTCTACCAACTAATACCGATAATATTAAATAATTTTCAAAATAATATTTAGTACTTTCCGTTTTTTAAATTTTTTTGAGTAAGTAATTAATTGAAAGTAAAATCGTTCGCGATTTTCCTGCCAACTAACAACAATAATATTAAAGTCAAGTCGTAAATATTGAGATTTTATTTTGAATTATGGATATCAAAATAATTTATTTTTTATAAAAAAATTAAATAATTTATTTTACAATAGAAAGTAAGAAAATAAAATAAAATATAAAAGTTATTATTAAATAAAAATAGAAAGCAAAATAAATTGATTTTACTCCCATATATATTTTTCATAGAAGATTCCCGAACCAATGCTGTATATCCGTGCCTTGTCAGCGTCCACGCTGGAATTCGAACCAATCAGGGCGTCAAAATCCTCCACGTCATATAACACATCATTGACAGCTCGTCACCTGTCTACGTCAGCACTCCGAGGACAGAGTTGTCATTTCACAGTGGAGTGGCATTCTCGTAGTTTTATGAACTAGTAGGGGTGCTTATGAACCTGGTCAGTTTATCCTTGATTCCCTCTATATATTTGCTCTCGCTCTCTCTCTCTCTCTCTCCACAGACACGCCGAGAGGACAACGAAGGTGGTTTTGGTGCTTCTTTGGAGGTTTTCGTGAGCGACTTTTGGAGGCTGTGATTTTGTAAGTGGTGAAGTTTGTTGATGCTGAGTGCGATATTGTTGTTGTTAGAGGGTTTTTTTTATTTGATTTTATGGTTGGATCTTGTTGGATCTGAGGGTTTTTGTGTTTCTGCTGCTGTTGATAATCTGTGTGGCTGTTTTGTTTTGAGGTCTCGTGCTTATTGATGATGATCTGTTGGTACATTTCGGTTTGTGAATGATGGGTTTCATGTTTTGATGCTTATCTGTGGAAAGAAGGTTTTTGCTGGGTTACTTTGAAGTTTGTGTATATTATCTGATTTTTCTTTGCTTGGGACGATTAGGCTGTTTAGAGCGTTCATGGATTTTGGAATTTTGCCCAACCTTTTTTTTTTTTGTTTCGCTGTTGACATTTTTGTGCTCTTTTGGAGTGCTTGCCTGTGCTTTATGGATCTCTTTTGTTGACTGTGGGAAGATGTTTTCACTGTTCTTCGGTGAACCTCATCCTTACACACCAAAGCTGATGTTTAGGTTTTTGATATTTACGTTTTATCATAACTTTGACAGAATTGGATGGCTGGTCTTTTAGATATATATATATGTATAGCGTAGTTTGTTCTTGAAATCGTGTTTGACTTTCCTGATCTTGCTAGAATGAAGTTAATATGTGCAGTCATGAATGTAGATATGGTGGGAACTATGATTTGTGCCCTACCTTGTCCATTGAAGGTGTCTTGAGTTTACATTTTCTTTTGAATTGCTTTTGTAGTTTTTGTATGAGTTTTTGTTCGGTGTCAGCTGGCCCTTGAAATACTTAATTAGAAGGACTCTTGTAATCATGTGTGTGTAACTGTGTGTATCTATGTCTATGTGTTTTACACACTAGCAATGTGCTGATCTGTTTATAAGTGTGGTGATGGTAAGTCATGTTTGGGTGGGTCAGCAGGAATGGTTGTCGTGTTAGTTTTTTGATATATGCATTTGATGTTTCATCCAATTATTATTTCTGATTGCCTTTGCTTCTTTTGTTGTGCTGAATCTGAAATTGGTTTATAATGCGATGAAATGATGATATAGTTGTTGTAGTTGCTATCATGGTGAGAAAGAGACGGACTGATCCTCAGGCTGGAGGTGGTAGCGGTGGTGGTGGTGGCGGCGGTGGTGAGGGATCGGAGACTCAGGAAACTGCTGGACGTGGTGCTCCACAACGACCGCCACAGCAGCCACAGCAACCACAGCAACCACCGGCCCCGCAGCAGCATCCAGGAGGAATGCAAGGAAGAGGTTGGGCTCCCCAGCGAGGAGGTTATGGTGGTCGAGGTGGACGAGGTGGCAGAGGACCTTCACAGCAGCCATACTATGGTGCACCTCCAGAGTATCAACAAGGGCGAGGTGTCCCACAATATCCTCAAGGGGGTTCATACCGCCCTGGCCCGTATGTAGGTGGCCGTGGACCGCCACCTTCTTCTGGCGGACCATCTAGGCCAATTGGTTCCGAGCTGCACCAAGCTACGCAGTCTCCATATCAAGCTGCACCAAGTCATACAAGTCCATATGGGAGCACTTCGGAGGCACTTCAAGGGGCTAGCTCTTCATCCCAGGTCCCTCCACCAGCACCCCAAGAAGTTACTGAGCAGTTTGAACAGCTTTCTCTGCAGAAGGAGGTGGCTCCAAGCACTGAATTGGCACCTGTTTCAAGCAAGTCAGTTAGATTTCCTTTGAGGCCGGGAAAGGGTAATATTGGTACAAGGTGTATTGTGAAGGCAAACCATTTCTTTGCTGAGCTACCTGACAAAGACTTGCATCAATATGATGTGAGTTGTTGATATACAATCCCTTTTAATTTTGTTTATTTTTGCTAATTTATTTTCTTTGTTATATTGTAACTGGATATAATTGTAGCGTTCTCTCTTCTCTTCTTGGTTCTAGGTTTCTATCATACCAGAGGTCACTTCCCGTGGTGTTAATCGAGCTGTGATGAAGCAATTAGTGGACCTGTACAAGGAGGCTCATCTGGGTGGGAGGCTTCCTGCCTATGATGGAAGAAAGAGTCTTTACACTGCAGGGCCTCTGCCTTTTGCATTGAAGGAGTTCAAAATAACCCTCATTGATGATGAAGATGGTCCAAGTGGTGCCAGGTTTTATTCCACACAATTCTCAAGGAGTTGTCTGATTATTTCTTTGCGCGATAATTTATTTCAACACTGTTTCTCATTAAACTGTGGATTAAAATGTTTTACAGGAGAGAGAGGGAGTTCAAGGTTGTTATCAAGTTTGCTGCACGGGCTGATTTGCATCATTTAGGCATGTTTTTACAGGGTAGACAAGCAGATGCACCACAAGAAGCCCTTCAGGTTTTGGACATTGTTCTGCGTGAACTACCCACAACTAGGTATATGTTGTTAGCCTTTATTTTTCTTCTCTCTGTTAGGACTGCCACAAATTTCATCACTGCTTTGATGAATTGTTTGCTTAATGTTTTTTTTCTGTGTAGGTACTATCCTGTAGGTCGGTCCTTCTATTCCAGTGCCCTTGGTGGTAGGCAGCCTTTAGGTGAAGGGTTGGAAAGTTGGCGTGGTTTCTATCAGAGCATTCGGCCGACTCAAATGGGTTTATCCCTGAATATTGGTGAGTTATGTTCTTGTTTTAATTTTCTGCGCTATCTTATGTATTTTCTTCCCCCTGTTTAAGTTGTATTGGATTTCTTATATACCTTACAGGTTGTGATTTTAAGTTTCATAATTGATAACATAAGATCCTAGTTATTTTGTACTCGAATTTCCTTTGTATGCTGATGACTATTGTTTTTGTTTCTTGAATCCATTTTTTATGGAGCAGATATGTCATCCACTGCTTTTATTGAGGCGCTCCCAGTAACTCAGTTCGTCTCAGATCTCCTGAACAGGGATGTCTCATCTAGGCCCTTATCTGATGCAGACCGTGTCAAGGTTAGCCTATTTTTTTGGTTTCCTCTGCTTTCGGGATTGTGCACTTACTACCATTCTGATGTCCTTTTGTCACCCGTTTTGAAGACTAAAAAAATGTTGAGATAATTAGCCTTTAGGCTGTGTTATGTTTTCATAATTTTATACCTATAAGGATATTTTTAATGTGGTTTTTGCACTTTCGAGGTGTAACTGAACATGTCCTCACTATATGTTATTTATCAGGAGTTCAACTGTTTCGAGTTTGTCTATTAAGTCACACACAGTCGCCTATCCTGGTAGTTGACTAGGTTTATACATTTTGACATGTTCTCTAATATTGTTGGAATTGTTACAGATCAAGAAAGCTCTTAGAGGTGTGAAAGTAGAGGTCACACATCGTGGAAATATGCGAAGGAAATACCGTATTTCTGGCTTGACTTCACAAGCAACAAGGGAACTCACGTAAGGACCAAATGCAAATTTACTTTATTATCATTTATGTCGAACGATTCCTTATAACTAAGTCTATGATGTAGTGTACTGATAGTGTTAAGTTTTTTCTTTTGAGTCTCATATATATTTATCATCTGTCCTGATACTGCTTGAGTTAGATTTCCGGTTGATGAGCGAGGTACCATGAAATCGGTGGTAGAGTACTTCGTGGAGACATATGGCTTTGTTATTCAACATACTCAATTGCCTTGTCTACAAGTTGGAAATACCCAGAGGCCAAACTATCTTCCAATGGAGGTATGTTTACTTGCACCTAATTATTATCGAAAGTGGCTTAGACTACCAAACCATTTATTTGTTTATTTTTTTGAATTTCCTTTGTGTAGGTGTGCAAGATAGTGCAGGGACAGCGCTACTCAAAGAGGTTAAATGAACGGCAAATTACTGCCCTTCTGAAAGTCACTTGCCAGCGTCCAAAAGACAGGGAGGCTGACATAGTTAAGGTAATACCGGTGATGAAATCCATTTTGGCCGTTGTGAGTTGTGAGTTAGTGTGAGTTCTATGCTGACAGTATTTGGGGTTTATTATTAACAACCATTTTTATGGTGTATTTTGAAATGTTATTTGTGAATTGATTGAGCTTTTTCATATTTTCTCCAGACTGTACGCCACAATCAATATTCTGGTGATAAGTATGCTAATGAATTTGGAATCAAAATTAGTGAGAATCTGGCACAGGTTGAAGCTCGTGTCCTGCCTGCACCATGGGTAACTGCAAAGTTCCAATATATCATATTTCCATGTTACACTTATTTGTATACGAGTCTTGAAAGTCATGTTTTTTCTACAGCTTAAATATCATGATTCGGGCAGGGAGAAAGATTGCCTTCCCCAAGTTGGGCAGTGGAATATGATGAATAAGGTAATTTTCCTTGTAAAAGAAGTAAATTGTTATAACATACCAACTGAATAAAGGTAAGATAAATTGTAAGCAAAAGAAGCGTAAACGGTGAATGTTTCTGAAGTGTGTGATTTTACATATTACTTGGTGGCTCAAATTTTAAGTTCTGCATTTGCTGTTTGTGGGGATTATATATTTTATTCTGCATTCTGCAGAGGATGGTAAATGGTGGCACAGTGAACAGTTGGATGTGCCTCAACTTTGCTCGGAACGTGCAGGATAGTGTAGCCCGCACTTTCTGTCATGAGCTTGCCCAAATGTGCATGACATCTGGCATGGTAAAGATACTCAGATAATATATATTTGCCTTTCATAATATGTTTGGTTTTTAACTTTTGATTTCCTCTTGCAGACTTTTAATCCCGAACCTGTATTGCCAGTTATGAGCGGCCGTCCAGATCTTGTGGAACGAGTGCTAAAAGCTAGGTTTCATGATGTCATGACCAAATTGCGGCCTCATAAAAAGGAGCTGGACTTGCTCATCGTTATATTGCCTGATAACAATGGAGCTCTTTATGGTATGAGATGATGAATCTTATACAAAATTGTGAATTGATCCCATATATCTCTCTTTTTCTTGATGTTCTTATTTTATTCTATCAAGGGGATCTGAAGCGCATATGTGAAACGGATCTCGGCATTGTCTCACAATGCTGTCTACAGAAGCATGTGTATAGGATGAGCAAGCAATATCTTGCAAATGTTGCTCTAAAGATCAATGTAAAAGTTGGCGGGAGGAATACAGTCCTGGTCGATGCTCTCTCGAGGCGCATACCACTTGTCAGCGATCACCCTACTATCATTTTCGGCGCCGATGTTACCCATCCCCATCCTGGAGAGGATTCTAGTCCCTCAATTGCTGCTGTATGTTTACTAATTCGATATATGATCAATCCCCCCGTGTATGGAAACCATTTGCTCGACTTTCCAACTGGGTTTTCACTTCTGTTGCCTTGATTTCTTTTCAGGTTGTTGCCTCCCAGGATTGGCCTGAAGTTACAAAATATGCTGGCTTGGTTTGTGCCCAAGCTCATAGGCAGGAGCTCATCCAGGATTTGTACAAGACATGGCAGGATCCAACTCGGGGAGCAATGCATGGTGGCATGATAATGTATGGTTTCTGAGTCATTACTTTGTGCACTCATGAAAGAATAATTCATATGTATATATATATATATATATATATTCAATTTTCATAATCATGAACAGGCCTACTTTTTATAGGCTGTGTGAATATGGTCTGCGACTGATGTTTTGTCTTTCTATAAAGGGAACTGCTAATCTCATTTCGAAGGGCTACTGGACAGAAACCACAGAGGATCATTTTCTATAGGTAATCTCTTTTGCTACAAATATTTTATTGAATTCTCTCCTCTTGTGTTACATATGATGGTTGTTGTGGCATACAGGGACGGTGTCAGCGAGGGCCAGTTTTATCAAGTACTGCTTTATGAACTTGATGCAATTAGAAAGGTGAATTTGTACACACACTATTCGATGTTTCTTGTCATCTACTTTATATTTCTATGAAATGAAAGCTCTCTTAATTATTTGTTTTGTCATTGTTTTATGTTCAGGCCTGCGCTGCTCTCGAGCCAAACTATCAGCCCACTGTTACCTTTGTTGTGGTTCAGAAACGTCACCATACTAGATTATTTGCTAACAACCACAATGATAGGCATGCTGTTGATCGAAGTGGAAACATTTTGCCTGGTACGGAGCTCTGATTTTCTGTCGAATATTAGCTTTCTCTGAAAATGGCCGATATTTACTAAAGAGTGCAATGTTTGCAGGAACTGTTGTGGATTCAAAGATCTGCCACCCTACTGAATTTGATTTTTACCTTTGTAGTCATGCTGGAATTCAGGTAAATTTTACATAGGCCGATCTTTTTAGTCTATTTTAAAGAATTTCACTTTCTCGATTGATTGACGATTCGGAATATTTTTTAATCAAACAACAGGGCACCAGTCGGCCTGCCCATTACCATGTTCTGTGGGATGAGAACAAATTCACTGCCGATGCCCTCCAGAGTCTGACTAACAACCTTTGCTACACGTAAAAATCTCCTGCCCGGTCCTATCTATTGTTTGGATTACATTCTTCTTTCCTGCGGCTAATTAATTAATACTATTTTCTTATGCAGCTATGCTAGGTGCACTCGATCTGTCTCCATAGGTATGTGTTCTTCGAACATTTCGTTGCGAAACCTTATATAAATCCCTTTTGCCATAATTTTGATTTTCGTAATTGTCTTTGTGTTTGCGACAGTGCCTCCTGCTTACTATGCCCATTTGGCTGCTTTCCGCGCTCGCTTCTACATGGAGCCGGAAACATCTGACAGTGGGTCGATGTCGAGTGGTGCAGTTGGCGGCCGTGGCGCAGGTGGTGCAGCAAGGGGCACTAGGGCTCCTGGTGCAGGGGCTGCCATCCGACCTCTGCCTCAGCTCCGGGAGAACGTCAAGCGGGTGATGTTCTACTGCTAATTTAAAGCGATGGAACCTTTTAAATTATTATTATTAAAAACCTAATTTCCTTTCTGCTGGATTTGGATTTGGATTTGAGACTTTTGCTGTGTGTGATATGTTATAATTATAATTATGGTGTGTATGTCATGTCAACTTGATTGATGGATGATGATTGATGCCTATATTATATGCTATATTTGATGCTGAATTTCTTCATGGACGATCCAAGCAAGTCTTGATTTGATCATCTTTCTCACCTAGCAAGTCAAGTCTTAATTTTACAATAAGCATTCTAATTTGTGTTTGGAAGACTACTTAATATAGTATTCTCCTAAGGGGCAACGTAATAGTATGTATGTACTGTAAAATTATGATTCAAAGTCTTTTTATTTTGCCTGACACATAGGCCTTGACTTTGAATGAATTAGCAAATCTTTTGGATAATTATTTTCCTACGATCTAATTAATTACTCTAGTTCAATTTATTCCAAGACTTTGAATGATTAGCAAATCTTTTGATTAATTCAAGACTATTTTAATTAATTTTCCCAAATTCGTTTTTCACTCACTATCAATTGATTTTGAAGAATTCCAATTGAATGTAACAGATTAATTAACCAACACCTTTTTGGTTTTTATTATAAATTAATGATTGAACGTTATATTTTGTAAGATTGATATATTTAATATATAATGTTATATAGTAATAAACCTAAAAAAGATAAAGATTTTTTTTTTTTTTTTTTTTTTTTTTTTTTCATAATGTGAAAATTCGCGGCTGTTAGAGTCGAACGCAATAGTTCAAACTATATTTTATTATTTAATTACACACACAGTAGATAATTAATTAATTAATTAATGTCATTATTCCACAATATCCGATCTATCATTAATTCGCTGGAACAATATTGATTAATAATAAAAAAAAATTAAATTATAATGCATATAAAAATATGTCAATGGATCATATGCTAAATATTATATTCAGTATCTATGTTGAATGCTTAAGAAATAATTGGTTTAATATAATTAAGATATGTAATTTTTATGAAATTCATCACGTGCTAAATTAAATAAAGACTTAGTATATACTCCATAATTTTTCAACTAGATAACGAGTGCCATATGAAATAGAAACAAATTCAAGAAATTTAAAATATGCACGTTTACTAATGGAACGAGCTGTAATTAAAATAATTAATTATTGCATGAACAATTTATTCAACCTTCTATTTGCTGGAATAATAATAATAATAATAATAATAATAATAATAATAATAATAATAATAATAATGAAAGCATAAAGCAACCTAATTAATCATTTGTACTTATTTTATTATTCATGTTGAAAGGAGTTTATTTTGCAATTCTATTAAGAGGGCGATTGATACAAAAAAATAAAATAGTAAAACCATGAGAGCAAAGAATGAAATTCATAGAGAAAAGGAATCAAATAGAGAGTGATAATTAATTAAGGGTAAATTACATAACACATCCTTGTATTTTATTAAAAATGTACAAAAACACTCTATGTTTTATTTATTGCGTGAACCCTCTTGTGTTAATAAAAAATTTGCATGAAATACCCTTATTGTTCAAAACTGATGGTTGGTTCAAAATAAAAACCTAAATTAGGTAAATTTTATACAAATAAAAAATATAAAATATCTTAAATAATTTTTTTAATAAAATAAATAAATAAATAAAATAAGTTTCCCTTCAAGTTTTCCTTCTCGGCCATTCTCAATGTGGGCCTGTCAGAAAGTTCATTTTTTATCAACTGCAATGGCCGTATTCTCGACATTGAATTCTCGATCTCGTATTGACGGAGACACTGTAGTTAGTACTCTAGAGTACAAGTATAATCGCATAAAGTGCTATATAATAAAAAAAAAACCAAGTCAAGAAACAAAAACATTAAATGTATTCCCTTAAACCACTACTCCAAATAAATGTAAACTTAAATAAAGATGGATAAATACCATGAATACGAGGAAACCAAGGTTCATAACGAGGAGATTAATCATCAAAATCAGCAAAATAGACTTTATCTTTATCTTTTGTTCTTTATTATTTGACTATGAAGTAGATATTTTTTTGGTTTCAGGGGTGATAATATTTTGGTTATTTTATTTTAGAGATTCTTGATTTTTTTTTATAAAAGTTCTTTTTGATTATCAATATTTGTTAGCGGCATCCCCGACGCTGCCTGCGTACGGCGACGCCGTGCGGCGCCGGCCCGTACGCGAGGAATGCTACCTGGTTGATCTTGCCAGTAGTCTATTGACATGGTATCGGATTACCCGAACCCGAATAACGAAGGACCAACCACGCCCGTACCCGATCAATGAAATTACCTTGTATAAAGGTTGTCAGCGTCAAGTACTAGTCAAACATTGTTAGATGCAAAGAATCATATGGCAATAAGATTCAAAAGAAAATAAAAGCCACAGGTACATTAGAACTCTTTTCTAAGGGTGCCGCCCCAGGCACCCAGTCAAACTCCCACTTGACAATGTCTTCTGCCCGGATCGGCCCGTCGGAGCGAGCTTTGGGTCCAAAAAGAGGGGCGTTGCCCCGCCTCCGATTCACGGAATAAGTAAAATAACGTTATGAGAGAATAGAGAAGAGAGAAAATGAAAAAAAAAAAAAAAGTCTGACCGAAAAGATAGAAAGAGGAGAACGGTCCGGTCGGTTGGAATGAAAAAATGAATTTAAGATTTTCTATGTATTTATATTACTTTATAATATAATGATACTTTTTATTAGTTATTTGTCACAACAATTTTGTTAATTTATTTGGATGTCTTTTTTTTGTGAAAATTCTATATATATTTTCTCCCAAAAATATATTACACATATTTATTAAGTAATATAAAAAAATTAATTAAAAATTCATAAAAAATTATATAATAAATTAAATAAATAAAAAATTGATTATTATTTGTTAAAAAGAGAAAATTACACAAATCACACTCCACTAATTTCCAATTCAGCACCTATAAAATATATAGAATATATGCTGTTTGTTCATAATTACAATGTATATGGTATGTTATGTGTGAGACTATATTATTTGCTGTATTTGTATTATATTAATATAAATGATACGTTGTTTCTAGTAGTAATAATCTGTGTTGTCTGTTAGCACACTACGGTGATGAATTTTAAAATACAGCATTCACTATAGAAAAGTGATGACCGTTGCATTATTTATTGAGTAGTTTCAAAATAAGCAAAAATATTGTTGGGACTGGGTCAACTCAGTATGATATTATCCGCGCTAAACCTGTACGGATTTGTTTTTGGATATCCTCCAAAAGACCTCATATTAGTGGAGTTCACTTGGGGACTTTTATAAGGTGTGCAATTTTCTTCACAATTTCCGAAGTGAGACTTGGGTTTGCATCTCAACAAATATAATATAAAAAATACTATTTAAACAAAAATTCAAATCTAATACAATTGCAATCGACACTCTCAGCGACAAGTTACATGAAATCTAAACTACCCCTTATGGTGGTGGTGCTTTTGCAAAAATTACATCATATTCGTCATTGCCGTTAGATCGAACCAAGCGCTTTTTTCGCCCATTTCCCGAATCAAGAATGATCAGCTCATGACGCACGGAACCTGCATCGCACACGTCCTGTGGGTGCGCCACCAATCTGTAGCTGTCTTTGATCGAACTTTTCTCAATCTTGAACCAGTTCCTTAAGGTATTACAGTTTGGATTACCTACCGCGCCTCCAATAGTTATTAATGGTAAACGTGAAACGGGATCAGTTTCGCCTGCCTGCCACACCGTGGAGTTAGCGCACGCCGGCTTGGAGGTTTCGATCTTAATGTTGAGCGATTGGGAGAGGCGAATGTCGGATCCTACCCAAGGGTGGAAGCTGACAGGGATGCCTACTTCCAAGGCGGATGCTTGCGACACGACAGTAGGGCATCCTTTATCCAAGTAGTCGGAGAGTGTAAGGCCCCCGAATGCCAACCCGAGTATCGTTGGCTTTCTAAGGACATAGTATTTTTCTCCGATCTGTTATGAATCAAACATACATAGCAATATCAGATCGATTAGGGTTCAACGTCTTTCTTACAAAGATCTTTTTTAAGAATGGGGTGTACATTGTTGGGGGTTTGAATTTTGAATTTGAGTTAGACGTTTTTCTTTTTTTGGAAAGTACAATTAATTTAATTTAAATGTTTGATAAAATAGTTGTTGGGGTTTGTATTTTGAATTTGAGTTTGACGGTTTTTTGAAGAGTACAACTAATTTTATTTCAATGTTTGGTAAAATAGTTGTAACCAAGCCATACAAAACTGGGTGTGTTGGGATCATAGATTGGCCCCACAGGTCAAGTTCTAAGCACGCTTAACTCTAAAATTTTATCAATAGGGTTCTCGAAAAAGAATATGTATATTGTTGACTTGAGTAGTTTATATTCAATCCATTTAACCTCTAATCAATTTCGGATAGCCTAATACCGGCACATCCATACATGGGAGTTGACGAAAGCAATAACCATGTTGTGACGGATTAGGGTTAATGATCGAATAATAAATAGAAAACGTAAAGAAGATACAAATTTACGTAGAATAGGAACGGAGAACAGATTTATCCACGACGGCTAGGGTACAGATTACAAATTCCCGTGAAAGCTCAACGAAGCAGTAAAAATATCAAAATACCCTTAACTTCTACTAAAATTAAAAACATAACATTATAAATACAATTATTTTATACATAAAATGAAACGACAAAAATATAAAAAACTTACACACTTCTACTGACTAATAAAATTTTACTATCATTTTTTAATTTATTACAAAACCTAAACTGACCTCTTTTATTTGGGAGGGAGGGAGTGTTATTCTTCTCAAATCTAAAAAAAACAAAAATAAATATTTTACAATACTTTCACAATTAATAATAACTAATAGTAACAAAAATTGTTGAAAATTCTAAATTTCAAATAATACAATTAAATATTTAAAAAATAAAATATAAATATCCTCCATTTTCATTTTAGATATAAAAAGCTTGTATATTAATTAAGTTGTTTTATCAAACACTATAATACAAATAGTTATATTGAATTAGTTAAACCAATTAGTTGAATAAGATAACAACTAATTAATTAAATCCCCTAACATCTAATAATTATAAGCTAGCGAATTGCTAAACACAATCTTAATTGTAATAGCGGTAAGATGTAATCAAATTAGATGTTAATATAATATTTTGAATATAAAATTAATTTTTAATTAATATTCTCTCGGTTCACTTACAAGTATATACATTTTTATTTTAGATTGTCTAATTATAAAGTAATAATTTTTTCTTTTTTAATAATTATAAAGTCTATATTTTTCACAAATAACCCTACTTTAGCATCGATATCATTGCTTTGACACAAAAGATAAAATTATCTTTACGATACTATAACTATCAATTATAATTAAAATATTATTATTTTTTAAATTTCGCGTCAAAAGTAAATATATATTTTAAAAATAGACAAAGAGAATATAAAAAGCAAAAATAGGCGATCTTAAAAAATCCTCCGATCAAGCACCACATTAGGGCGATCCTAAAAAATCCTCCGATCAAGCACCGCATTAGGTTTGTGTTTTTTTCATGTTTGATTGATCCACGCCGAATATATATATATATATATATTAGGTACCTTGAGAGGCTCCTTGTTGGTGTCGAAAACTATAGTCGGTTCTGGAGTAGTAGCCGAGTATGTGCAAGAGAAGAAGAAGAAGAAGAAGAACGACAACAAGAAGAACAAGAGAAACTTCATTACAACTACTTAATTAGGGATACGGATGATTATCCATTGTCATCTACAGGGTGGCCTTTTTATAGATGTTAGTTCGTAAAGACAAGAATCATTTATCAAAGATACAAAATCAATAAACAAGAAGAGATTAAAATTGAATTAGATTAAATAAATGTTTGCCGTAGCAGCACAGCTGGATCGACGCAGCAACAGTTGCCATAGAAGATGTAGCAAAATAAATAAACTAGTTGTCCCGTAATGGATGAGTTGATAGTGCCAGAGATGAATCCGTGATAGCGAGGTAATGTGTTCAAACTCCTAATACTTTCAGATCTTGCTGGATTCCTGCGTTATAAAAAAAATAAAAATATTAGTTGCATATGATATAATAATTCAAATATATATATATATATCAGAGTAAATGGTATATATAATGCACCTTAGTAACATGCCATAATATCAGATCTGTTTAAATCATTAATAATGTCTGGAGGGTTAATTATTAAATAATTATTGAAGGTCAATGATAATCCTTAAAAACATGGACGAGTTCACAAAACATGCGCATTAATGGAATTAATTATATAACTCAGTGTCTTGTTTGATTGGCAATTTTTTTAAAGTCTCATACTACTCAATTATTAAGATTCTTTATAAAAATATATTAGTATTTTATTTTACAAAATATTACATTCAAATTACTATTTAAAAAAAATTTAACCAAAAACTGAAAAAAAAAAACCAAAATCTAATATTTTTTTTTTGCCAAAAGACACAAATGATGCTTTGTGGAGTTATAGTTTTGGTTGGGGTTCTTTTCGTCAGAATTATAATTTGAATTTAATATTTTATAATAAACAAATATCCGAGAAGGGTATGGATTGAAGTTGTTGCAGATTAGGATTAATGATCCAATAACAATCATAAATGTATAGACACGAATTTACTTATACGAACCAATAACATGTTGGCTACATCAACTGTAAAAACGAAGAATAAATTTATTGAGAACGATTTGTTTACAAATGAAGGATTTTATCTCTAAGTTTAATCAAAATACATTTGACTGGCTCAGCCCAATACCAACTCCAAAGTCCAATACCGCATACCGCTGGGTCGGAGACCACTCTGCACCCCCGGAACCCAGACAACGGATTCGGCCCCCTTGACCCTCGACTCGCTGATCAGGCAGCGAGACCTCCGTAAAAACTCCGCAAAGCACCAAACTAGATTTAAAGCGTATTAACAATTGAAAAAAATCAGTTGATTTTATCTAATAAACACATTTAATAAAAACAAAAAGACAACACTTGATTTTGTCGGAAGCTAATGACCGTCTCACCTAAAAGCTCGAACTTGTTAGGGAAACTAAGCCATTAGTTACATATCCCGCAAACGGGAGTCCTCAACATATACCATGTCGGAAACTAATGACCGTCTCACCTAAAGCCATTAGTTACATATCCCGCAAACGGAAGTCCCCAACACGCCCCCTCAGGTGCAAGTGGGTCTGCGAAACTTGCACATGCATATGCCACAAATGGGGACGGGCGGGACTCGAACTCGAGACCTAACCTAGGCTCTGATACCATGTCGGAAGCTAATGACCGTCTCACCTAAAAGCTCGAACTTGTTAGGGAAACTAAGCCATTAGTTACATATCCCGCAAACGGGAGTCCTCAACAGATTTTATTTAATAGCGGCACGGGATTATGGGCTCGGTTTTGCTCAGCAACACCCAGCCCCATCGCCCAAAGTGATATATATATGTATATATGCATACATATTCTATATGTATACTACATTTGATCGGGCTAAAAGAAAATGGAGCCGATGATCCCTTCCCTTTAATAGCGTATATTGTCTTAAATAAAAGTATGTGTTGTACAATTAATATTATATTTATATGTCCGTTGTATGATTGCATACTATGTATATGTACTGTTAATTCATATGATATATTTATATTATATTAATATAAATCATATGCTGTCTATAATTGTAAAAAAAATATCTATAGAATGTTTTGTCGCCCCTGCTAGGGAGGATGAAAGATGATTTTATTGTCTCAATCTCTATTACAATCAAGCATGCAAAAGTTAATTTATTCTCTTAAATTTAATATTTTAAAACGCACCTAATTTCAGAAGTTGAATAAACAACCAAATAAACCATTAATTATACGGTGTGTTGTCAGTCGACAAACACGCGACACATTGTCAGCACTAAAATTCAACATCGTAACAGCCGCTCATATTAATATCAACTTGAGCTGATATCAGTTATTATTTATTGACTAGTTTGGACAGAAAAGAAAGCATCAACAAAATTGAAAAAAACTAGAGAGCAGCAATCATAGAAGAAGTCATTGAATTCATACAAACGAACTGCAGTTAGATCGAAACAACGGCTTATGGTGGCGGTGCTTTCGCAAAAATTACATTATATTTGTCATCCCTGTTAGATCGAACCAACACTTTTTGTCCATTACTTCCGGGACGAATAATAATCCCATGAGTCACTGTAGCCAAGTTGCAGAACTCGTCCGGGTGCGTCACAAACCTGTAGGTGTTTGGGATCGAGCCCTCCTCAATCTTGAACCAGTTCCCGCCATTGGCGCAACTTGGATTACCTAGCGCGCCTCCAATAGTTATTAATGGTAACTGTGAAACCGGATCGGTCTTGCCTACTTGCCACACTGTGGAGCTGGCGCACGCCGGCTTGGAGGTTTCGAACCTAATGTTGAGTGATTGGGAGAGACGGATGTCGGATCCTTGCAGGGGATGGAAGCTGACAGGGATGCCTAATTCCGAGGGGGATGCTTGTGTCACGACATCAGCGCATCCTTGATTCGAGTAGTCGGAGAGTTTTAGGCCCCCGAACGCCCCCAAATTAAGTGTCGTTGGCTTTCTAAGAACATAGTATTTTTCTCCGACCTGTTGTGAATCAAACAGATATGTATTTATATCCTACAAATTAGACCTTGAGCAAGATATATACATAAATACAATGAATTATTGAATGTATAGTTTGTTCTTTTTGTTATTTCAAACTCAAATCTAGCACTATTCACTCTATACAGCTTCCAATAAAAATATATATATTTTTTTTATAATTTCATATTAAAATACTATTTAAACAAAAAATTTAAAATCATCATCGATGTTCAAATCAATTTCAAATAACAACCGAACAAACGCTAAGTTTGTGCGTTTTTAGAGGTTAGGGTTTAGTACCTTGAGTGGCTCCCCTGTGGTGTCGAAAACTATAGTTGGGCTTGGAGTAGTCGCCGAGTAGGTGCAAAAGAAGGAGAAGAAGAACGACGACAAGAAGAAGAAGAGAAACTTCATGATGACTTAATTAATTAGCTTGGGGATTGTATGATCATCCATTCTCATCTCATCTACGAGCCTTTTTATAGATGTTGGAGTGAGTAGAGTGACAGAAAAATGTAGGCTCTGCTTAGTTGTATTTTCAATTTTATTATCGTATTATTCAGATATACGACTTTATTATAATTTTCACTCCAAAATTAATCATATGAGTAGCTGGAGATATGATGCACACATAAATATATAAATAAGCTGCGGTTATGGTACTGACACCATAAGTATAATTGGCATTGTGGTGATGACATTGAGATCATATGGGTGTGTTTTGTTTATGGGATTCTTCGAAAAATTTACTATTAATTAATTTTTTTTTTTTTAAAGAATATCAAATTAAACACGTGATTTTTATATTTATATTATATTAAAGATTAATTTTATATTCAAAATATGTCGGATGAAATTATTTACTTTTATGCTTTCTAGCTTCATAGTGTGTGTTTTCCTTATGTGGTTGAATTTGATGCACCGATGAAATTAAAACATTCGCTTTTGAATTTTTTTTTTCTTTATTGAAAATTTGAAACTTTTCTTTTCAAATTTATTTTTATTCGTCTGTCTAGATTTTTGCACTTGATCATGTGGAACATCTTTGTTGTCCTCCATGACTTGGATCATCCTCATCACTGTTCATCTTAGCTATTTCCCTCATCTTAATTTGTCATCCCTCCTACCTTTTTTTTGGTCCTCGTCACAGTTCATCTTTGCCGTCACCCTCATCTTTGCTTCGAAGTTTGCTACTGTTTTTATTTTTAGTCCGATGTTATTGCAACTTAGTAATTCGTTTGTAAAGAGTGTCTATAACCTTGCGCTGTTCAATTAGCATGTATTATATTTGTACTGGATGAAACGCATTCTTGGATAATGACTTGGATGATGAGTGTGTGAGTGAGTTTATTCCTGCTCATTTATTTCGTGGTACTATATCCAAAAAGGAGGATAAAGTTTAACTGAAATAAAAAATAAAATCTCATTTGATCAAATTTGACATATGTTAATCTCTCTATGATGAGTGTGAACTGTGGAAAGTGCCTCTATTGGTGTAGAGAGTTAGAACTTGAAGGTTAGCTGCATTCTCTATTTTTTCTTGTAATCTCTAGTCCTAGAGGAGACAAAAACATATGACTAGAAAACACTTCATTCCATTTCAGTGCAAATAATATTGATTGTGTTACTTTATACAGTCAAGTTTGAGGTTGTATGACCAGCCCGACATAAAGAGTTGGTGTGTGTAGTTGATAGTAGAATTCCAGTAAGATAATGCATTCCGCGCTCTCAAATTCGTGCCTTTTACTCTCCTTGTTTCAAATTTTAAGGTCGGTGGAAGTCGAACGGAAGGAGAAATAAAAAAATCCAGCTAGAGATGTTGATAGATTAGAGATATGCTGATGTTATTGCAGTGTAGTGACAACTGGTGGCTTAAGTCCTCGTAACCTCATGTTAGGTGATAATGAATGTCGGAAGCTAATGACCGTCTCACCTAAAAGCTCGAACTAAAACTTTTAGGTGAGACGGTCATTAGCATCCGACATGGTATCAGAGCCTAGGTTAGGTCTCGAGTTCGAGTCCTGCCCGTCCCCATTTGTGGCATATGCATGTGCAAGTTTCGCAGACCCACTTGCACCTGAGGGGGCGTGTTGAGGACTCCCGTTTGCGGGATATGTAACTAGTGGCTTAGTCTCCCTAAAAAGTTCGAGCTTTTAGGTGAGACGGTCATTATTGATCTCCTCAAATATAGGTTATTTATAGATGAATTGAGTCGACAAACACATTGTGTCATGTATTGCTTTTCTTCTTCTTGGATTTACATTCCTTACTTCGGACTAGGTTTTATTACTACTGGTTTATCACACATTAATTGTTGTGCTATTTCATTGTGTGGTTAATAACATTGTTCCACAAACGACGACAATATAGTTTAAACTTTTGGGCATTATATTTTAATGTGTGGGCATTTTTTTGATAATTTTGTTTTTGTTTTATGTTAAAAAGTACAATATCATTTTTTATTAAAAACAGAAGTGAGGATATGACCCTTTCTTTTTTTCATAATAGTGAAAAAAATATATATATTTGAAGGACAGGGTTGACAGTATAAATTAGAGCTGACATTATTAAAGAAAGCAAGCAAAGTTAAGAAATTAGAAAGCAGCAATTACAGAACAAATCATTAATTCAATGAATATATATATATATATATATATTTCACATGAATAAATTACAGAAGATCTCAAATTAAACAAAATCCCCGATAAATTATAGCTCAAGCGGTTGAGCACTTATTGGCATGCTTGAAGGTGTAGCTCAACAGGTTCAATTCTATGAAGTGCGTGAGTGTACGCATGTGTGGGATTAGAAAAAAAAAAAAAAAAGGAAAAGAGAAGAACAAATTAAATGAAATCGAAACGACGCCTTACGGTGGTGGTGCTTTCGCGAAAACAACATTATATTTTTTATGGCTGCTGTTAGATCGAACCAAAACTTTTTGTCCATTGCTTCCCGTAACAATAACCACCTCATGGTTTATGGCAGCCACGTTGCAAATGTCGTTTGGGAATGACACCAACCTGTAGGTGTTGGGGATCGAACCCTTCTCAATCCTGAACCCGTTCCGGGCATTGGCGCAACTTGGATTACCTAGCACGCCTCCAATAGTTATTAATGGTAACTGTGAAACTGGATCGGTCTTGCCTACTTGCCACACTGTGGAGCTGGCGCACGCCGGCTTGGTGGTTTCGAACCTAATGTTGAGTGATTGGGAGAGACGGATGTCGGATCCTTGCAGGGGATGGAAGCTGACAGGGATACCTAATTCCGAGGGGGATGCTTGTGTCAGGACATTAGCGCATCCTTGATTCGAGTAGTCAGAGAGTTTTAGGCCCCCAAATGCCCCCGAGTTGAGTATCGTTGGCTTTCTAAGGACATAGTATTTTTCTCCGACCTGTTGTGAATCAAACGGTATATATTTATATCTTACAAATTAGACCTCGAGCAATGTATATATATATATATATATGCATAAATACAATGAATATATAGTTTGTTCTTTTGTTATTTCAAATTGAAATCAACACTATTTACTATGCATAGTTTTCAATAAAAATATACTATTATTTTTTCAAAATTTTACATCAAAATACTATTTAAACAAAAACTTAAATCATTATCTTATTTCGAATCAATTTTAAATTACAACCAAACAAACGCTAAGTTTGTGTGTTTAGGTTTAGTACCTTGAGTGGCTCCCCTGTGGTGTCGAAAATTATAGTTGGCTTTGGAGTAGTCGCCGAGTAGGTGCAAAAGAAAGAGAAGAAGAATGATGACAAGTAGAACAAGAGAAACTTCATGACGACTTAATTAATTAGCTTGGGGATCGTATGATCATCCATTCTCATCTCATCTGCCTTTTTATAGATGTTAATTAGAGTGACAAAAAAGTTTAGGCTTTGTTTAGTTGTATTTTTAATTTTATTTTCGCATTATTTAGATCTACGACTCTATATACAAATTTCCCCCTAAACTTAATTATTTAACTAGCTAGAGGGGATGGTTACGCACCATGCTGATTTTTCATATTAACACGTATTATATATACAAAAAAGCACATATTAGTATTATACACAACACATGCTGTGTATAATAAAGGTATGTGTTATTTTTTATAATAACAAGTGTGCTGTATACATGTCATGCGCTAACAATTAACTGTTGTGTGTGCTATAGCATGTGATGTTAGTTGTACTGTATTTGTATTATATTAACATATGTGTGCTGTCTATAGTAATATTGTGTATTGTTGATACTATAGCATGTGCTGTATTGATATTATATTAACATACACAATGTACTGTTTGTAGTAATACTATGTGATAAAATTCAGCACTGTAGCCGCCATCCTAGTTAGAGATTTGCATGCATACATATATAAATAGGCGGTGGTTACGATACCGTGAGAACGTAAGGGTTAGCATTGGTCTGATTAAACATGGACATTTAGATCGTATTAGTGTATAATTGAAGGGTCCATATTGAATTAGGATAATATCGTAATTCTGAGCTGAAATTGTTTCCTTATATGCTTTCTAGCTTCAATTTTCGTACACGATTGATCCTAAAATATTTTCTCGAACTTTTTTTTTTATTTAATTATTTTCAACTTTATTTTTGTTCATCTGTCTAGATTTTTGCATTTTATCATGTCAAATTAAACATTTTTGTCGTTCTCCACCTTCGATATCTTCCTTTTCTTCTTGCTATAAGTTGTTCATCCTCGTCTTCCCGCCATTTCTTCTTCCTTGTCGCGGTTCGTCTTTGTCTTTTCCCTTATGCTCTTGCCATCATCCTCTCGGTTCGTATTCACCTTGCCCTAATTTCTCAAATAACATATTTCCGTTTTACTGTTATAATAATCATTGAATTAATTTATAATATAATGAATTATAGCTAAATCAACATGGTCTAGTGTGTATTATTAGCTCTAATCAACTCCCAACCCTTCAAGAATACATATATATGTATAATCAATGGAAGCCATTATCATTTCATGCATCCAAATCCCGTAATATCAGATCTGTTAACCTATTATTATTATTATTATTATTATTATTATTATTATTATTATTATTATTATTATTATTATTATTTGATACAGTGCGCGATCGATGCTATGGAATAACAATTTTGAACTTTGCAAAGTTTCTTAATTAAATAAATATCTAAAGTCAAATAAAAGATTTGGAAACATGGGCGCATATGACTTCTCCAAAACTCGCGCTTTAGCGGGATTATTATATTATTATTCCTCATAACCACATGTGTTTTAGAAATTGTATTAAATTTTTTTTGTCTTAAAAAGATTGCATAGAATATTTTTTAGAGATTTTTGTGCAATATTTTGAAAATGTCAGGAAGTGGGCAATTTTTAAGAGATTTTGTACAATATTTTTTAATACACGAAAAAGTCTAATGTAGCTTTAAGCTCATTGGAAGAATTATAGGAACTTTCAAAGTATAAACAATTTTGCCTATTATATAAACTCACTTTCAAGCTTATATTTAAATAAACTCCATATATACTTTTCGCTTTAGTTTATGATTAAGGTTTCACACCCATTTTTTTTGTTATTCAATTTAGGAGTCCCAAGGCTGATTTTTTTTTTTTTTTTTTTTTTTTTTTTTTTTTTTTTTACTGTTGTTCTGTTTGCATGGTTACTAGTCAAAATATAATTATTTTTTTTCTCATAAATTTCAAATAAACAAAATATTTAAACTAAAATTAGTGTACAAAAAACAAAAAGGCCATATATTGTCTATGACCTCCCAAAAATACCATATTCATCGAAAACGGTAATTTTTGGTAATGTATGATACGAAATTTTGAATTTTGTATGTCGGGATATATACTTACGGTACCAAAATGTGTATTCTTTTAGTAAAATATATCCAAAATATTTTTTAAAAAATTAATATATTACACAAATTCATTATTTTTATATTATTTAAACAATTCCCTATATCTAAGTAAAAGAACTAATTAATGTATTTATATTATTATGTTTAATTATGATAATGTAATATAATTTTTAGTATATATCTAATACTTTTATAGTACATTGTTAATTTCTGCACTGTATTAGGTCTAACCTTATACTGAAAAATTGGTATAGTATGTCAAAAAAATGGATATGGTATCAGCATAGTGTTTTTTTTATTTTTTTTATATTTTTATGCAATACATTTCAATATAGTGACCCCATCCAAATCCCATAATATTAGATCTGTTTAAATAAATATCCAAAGTCAAATGAAAGCTTTGAAAACGTGTTTAATGGTATTATTATATGAACTCCCCTTTCCAAACTTATAATTAATTAAATAAACTTGTGTTTGATTATGGTGTTTTGAATAGTAAAATATTGAAATGAAATAATTGTTCAATATTGTTACCAATAAAAATTAATCATGACTTAGCACGTCTGAACATAAAGTTACGGCCTCACACAAGACTGACGGACTTGATAAACAAATGGAACCATTAGGCATAGTGAATTTTGGGACAGCTGGATAATAAAATGCCTGGTGTACCGAGTGGAGTCGGCTCTGCAGCGTGGTGTGATACTTGACTTGAGCAGTGTTGAATATCGTTTAAGTAAATTAATTATGATTTTTCATGTCAACAATATATGAGTTACTCCGACACAAGTCTTTATGAAATCTTTCTCCATTTCTCTAAAGAAACAACCAGAGCTTTTCTCTTGATACACTTTCGATTGTTGGACCTAATTTCCAGACTATTAGATTCGATAGGGTGTTTATGTAGAACCACTCAAAGAGTAGTAGCTGCGGAAACCTAAATTATCCAAAAAATAAAAAATAAAATATGAATCTACTACACATGTGCGATACCAAAAAAAACTAGGTTCAAACCTCCGACGCGGCTATTAAGTTCGGCTGGATATTTACCCAAAAGACACTTGGAGCTGCGGGTTATGTTGGGGTACAAACCCAAGTCCCACATTGAAAGTGGTGAAGAAAATTACACACCTTATAAGTCCCAAGTAAACTCCATTAGTACGAGGCCTTTTGGAGGATATAAAAACAAATCCGATCAATATTATATATTGAGTTTACCAAGTCCCAACAAGTTACCATATCATTATAAAAATATTTCGGCGCCACTCAAGTTGCTGGACCGGATTGGCTCGTTCCAACCCAGCCCAAGACTGGGACCCATTAAAAAAATGCAGTCCCGGTCTGGATCAATTTAATAAAAGAATTATTACATATTAAAAATATACAATAAATGTATTATAAATGACCATAAATGCATTAACCGGACCAACCTGTCGTATTAAAAAATTCAACCAAGTTCAGGCTAAAGTGAGTCAAAATCAAATGGTTATGGGCCGGTCCAGCCTGCCTAGGCACCTTGACCTGCTATGCATGACTCGCCAGATATATTTATTCAAACAAGAATCCAATGGCAGTATGGCAAGACATGAGATAGTTGTATACATCATACGTTTTAAGTATGAACATATAGTACATACTGTTATTCAACTCCAACTTTTTTATGTGTGCCGAAGCGCAACATACATACATATATAACAAACTTATTTTGGATATATCATTTGAATCCAACATAAAACACTAATGTAAGTTTCTCGACACAGGTCTTTATGCCATTATATGTTGGCTTGAAACGAATTATACAATATGGCTTATTCTTGTCTTTCAGCACACCTCTATAAGCCATTTGACAATCATCAGAACACTTTTGATTAGTTACAAGAGTTGCATTTGTAAAAATTAATTTAGTCATCATCTTAAAAGTGAACAGAAGCTCCTCGATCTCAGGGTGGAGCGATGTGAGCCTCTTTTCTTTCTTCGTATACCGGAAGTAGATGTTCATGTCAGCTCCCAGGGAGACAATATTGAACTTGGGGTTGAACACAGTAACGGAACCAGCAGTAAAAGTTCGGGGGGGCAAAATCGATTTTTTTTTTTTTTTTATTGATTCAATGTTTTTTTTATTCATATAGTACACCGCGGCAAAAGATAAAAAAAATTGAAAAATTTAAATGTTTTAGAAAAAATTTCAATAAAATTACATAAAATTTAATATATGTTTACTATAAAAAATAAAATTCAATGACTAAAAATATAAATCAACATAGGGATAAAATTTTTATAATTTTTTATATTACAAAATAAAAAATTAGGAGGCAAGTTACTATAAAATACATAATTTTATTTTTTTTACATTAAAAAATACATATATCTTGAGGGCTGGGTCAGTTGAGCCTCCTAGCTACTATGTAATTCCGCCCCTGGCTGAACACATTGATTCCAGCTACCGCTGTTATCGAAGGGGAAGAAAATCGGAGAAGAAATCATCGTTGGTTGATGTCTATCAGGTCTGTTAGAAGAAAATCGCTGCTACAGCTGCTGTCCAATTAGAGCCACCGGAGGGCTGTCACCACTGTTGTCGGGGAAACACTCTTTGTTAGTCGATGTCATCGACAAAGTGATCCATGGTGAGTTGAATCTCCCCTGCTCTTGCTGTTCCCCACATTGCCCCCAGCAGAAGTATTGCAGGAAAGGAATGTTGCCTTGAAGCGGTTAGAAGAAAGTGTCAAAATTGTTTATATTGAAATTTTATTTGGTTCAATTCTTTAATTTTCTAATTCGATTAAAGGTCTGCCTGTTTGATTGTGTTTCTTTTTGCCTTTTGTTTAATTGTGTCAATTTCTATTCAAAGTCAGATATAATTTAATTTGGATTTTAGTCTATTAATTGTTTCTGTTAATATTCATATTTTGTATATGAGGTGGAAATATTATAAGAAATGAACTAGCCAAAATAATTAATTTATTTTACCATTAGATTGTACAAACTTTAATATTGGTACAATTATTTTGAGATACAGTATAGTATACAGTATCAAATATTGTCATTAATTCTTTTGAGATAAAATATTGTCTCGGAAATTGTCACGTGTTCGAGACAAAATATAGTTTCAGTGGCATTTGTGAATAGTTTTGAGACAATTTATTGTCACGACATTCTTTTAGTAATACAAAACAATTGACGGTGTTATATATTCAACATGAATCCAAGAAAAGCATACATATATAACAAACTCATTTTCGATCATTTGAAGCCAACATTATGCAACAATGTGAGTTACTCGACAGTAGTCTTTATGCCATTTTTGTCCTTCATAAACACAACATTGAAGGAGCTGCTGCTCCATTTGTCCAAGGACACAACCAGAGGCCTTCTTCCTGCTGCATATTCAGTGCTCAGATCATATTTCTCCGTGGCGACGCGGCACACGTTGCCCGGGTTGAACAATAACCTGTAGCTGTTCCACCTGAAGTCACTATTTTTTTCTACCTTGAACCAGTTAGAAAAAGCGTCGCAGCCGGTCTCCCCACATGGCGCGCCGAGCTGAATTGGCAGCCCTTGCTGTGTTCCGGCATCGGCGCAGAATTAGTCCAATCGAGCGGGATTCCTAACTTAACTTTGAAAGATTTGGATACACGAATGACAGTTTCCTCAGTGTTCGCCGGATGGAAAGTCCATGGCTGGCCGCGATCACGGTTGGATCATGTTACAGTCACGGCGTTGGGGCAACCTCCTCCACTAAGGTCGATTACTGTAAGGCCACCGCCGCTGTCTCCAACGGTTCTGCCGCCGTACATCATGTAGTACCTCGGCCCGGCCTGTTTTAAATTAAAGAATGGGAAGCCGTAAGTTTGATCAATTTAAAAGATATAGAATTGTTTATAAAATAGATAAAACACTTTGGTTTCTTGGCTCTGTTAAGTGGATTTTTAATTCTAACTTTACTATCTATTAATTTTTTCCTTAAAATATTAAATTAAATTATTATTTTTAATATTATGTTAAAAATGATTTCTATGTTAAAAAATATTATATTAAATAATTATTTTAATTTAAAATTTTATTATTTTAAAAACTTATGACCCATTCAAAAACCTACAAACAAAACACTAGCCTTTTGTTTTCAAACTTATTTTCACATTAATTTATAAAAACTTTCATTTAAAAAGACATGATGGGTTTGTTATTTTTACGTTGTTTAAGTTTTGAATTTGAATTTTAAATAGTAAAATTCAAAATAAAATAGTTCTTTAATGAATTATAAATAAAAATTAATAACAATATTTTGAAGTAAAATTAACTTTAAATATAATATAAAAATTTAATGTGATGTGTATTTTTTGGTACATATAGTAAAAAAACTAAAATGATTTTTTACATAATAAAAAAATAAGAAGAATTTTAAGAAACTGACAGAAAAAAAAAGTGAATATATATATATATATATTTTTATTTAAGATATCACATCAAAAAATTTGTTAACGCGACGAAATGTGCTTAAAGAAACCCTAATTAATTGAGGTAATTCTTAAATTCAAATTAACAAGATGCAGTATAGGTACCCGGAGCTCGTTTCCATCCACGTCAAAAACTGCACTCCTAATTGGTGGACGTGCTGAAATGGTGCAGGAGAGAAGAGAACACAGACACATACACAGGATTGTTTGGACCTTCATTACAATAGTTATGAATTAATCTTTTCCCTGGAAAGAGGTGTAATAAGAATTTAGGGGAGATCGAAAAAATATGTGAGGGAATGGAGAACAGTAATGGTAGGTAGTGACATTTGGTATAAATAAGTGTTGAATAGAGGATAATAGTTAAATATAAATTTATTGATTTTTCCAAACATAAATTTAGTGGACAGACTAAAAAATGAAATACAAATTATGTTCCAGGCTCAGCCAAACTTGGATATATGAGTTATAGTGATTGGATATTTACGAACGGAAGATATTCGTCCGTAATTCCATCTCTAATTAATTTACGTACGAAAGTAAGGTGACGTGGCTACGCTGATAAATTATGTTGTCAACAACATATCCGATTAGGGGGACCTCACCAATTACTATTATATTAATGAGGAATTGACATTCAAGCATGTGTCATAATTGTCCATATCTTATTTTGTTGAGTAGTATCTTCACCTAGATTTTTTCGTACTTCTTATTAAATTCTCTCATCTCCAATTTATCTAAATTATTAAATTTAAAAACATTTTATAATCAAAACATATAGTTAAATATAAATTTATATCACATAAAAACATCATTTATCTTTCAAATATTTTTTGTTATTTTTCACTTTGAGATATGCTAATTAGGTTATAATAGGATTTTAAAAAATAATTTTGCTATGACTAATTTTAATTTATCATCGTCGTCATCATCAAGGTTGAGACATAGGTCGGAGACATTGAATTTTATTGATGTAGTGTAGTGGCAGAGCAGCTCAATTTTGTATGTGTTAACCATCAGCGGGCGGGTGTACTTTTAAAAAACAGCTGAAACCGCTCATTATCTGATGGGATTCTCGACACTCCTCACACAAAGTGATATATATATACTATATGTATATATATATAACTATATATAATAATATAATGTATGAATCATGTGCTGATCTTTGTATTACTTCAGTACATGCTAAATATTATCTCAATCTTTAATTTACATTTAATAATTTTAATGAAATAACAAAGTATTTAAATCAATGGTTGAGATGACATCAAACAATGCTGAATTTAAAGATTCAACATGCTATTCTGACTGTAATATATATATATATGTATTTGTATATCATATATATGTATTGTATATATTAGAGAGGATTGGGGGCTGGGGGACAGGAGAGGGGCTGGTGATCCTATGCTGGCTCATTATATTTTCAAATGAATCCCCACTCTTAAAAGACAATAAGCTTCCGCTGAGTAGCTACTCGACCGGTAGCTGATGCGAGTTTCCATATTATTAAAAAAAAAAAAAAAAAAAAGCTTCTGATGATTGTCTACCTATTGTTTATACTTTGTGTTCTATTTAATGAAGCGTTCTCGCACCTAAATGTGCATGTCCTGAATTTGCCTCGCCATTTCTTATGCATCGCCATTGCATGAACTAGCCAGGTGTTGGAATAGGAGTAAATTAAAAAAAATCAAATAAAAGACTTATTCGTCTATACTATGATAAAAGAATTATTTTACATTCAATTATTACATCAAAATCTATTTTTATTTTTCTCTTGCGATGATGATCTCCACCAAAGATCTCCTCGCCAAATCTTTCTCCTCATCGTTTTCATATTCTCTTATGTAAAACTCAAGTTGATGTCTACAGCGATCACCTTGAGTTTGAGGGGATATTATATAGTGTATATATTTATTATTGTTTATATATATAATGATAAAACTACCACTTGTATGTATATGTAGTGTGTTGTGTTTATTGTGTTTGGTTTTGGGAATAATGATACCCAATTCATTTTCCCCCCAAAACAACCAACATTGTTGTTTGTCTCCATCACCAGCTTTCAGACACGATGAATTAAGTACTTTTCTCCAGCCTGTAATTGTTAAAGAGATGAGCAGAAGCAGCACCAATGCAATTCAATTTAATTCAAGTGTACCGTGAGTGGATTCCCCTTTACTTTAAAAACTGCAGAATCTTTTTTTCTTTATATATAAATATGGTGAGAAGCTACGACCCTATTCAACGAGTGTGCTCTGAGTAGATCCGTGACCGGCCAGAACCTAATAGACTGCAAACTGCATAATCTTTTTGAGCAGCTGAAATAGTGAAGAAGAAAATTTACAGCTGAAATAGTGATTGCACGAATCAAGATAGCTGAACAAGAGAAAATTTGAAGATTAAGATCCAACGTAATTTTATTAATTAGAACTAAAACTGAAATCGAAGAAAATCAATCTCTACTATGATCTATAATCTAATTATTCTAGAGACAGAAGTGTAAGAATTATGAATGGGATGTAAGAACAATAATGTGATGCCTTTTAATGGATGCTCCAAGAGACTACAGACAAATTTGCAGGTTTTATTTAGATGAAGCAACTGCTGCAAGGACAATGCATTCATTACCGTTGGAAGTAAGTAAGGCTGTCTATTAACTTTATATCATGGGTAAAATTCTACCACTAAAAATAGTTTGCCAAAAGTAAAAATACCAAACAAAATTCGACAATGGTAATATCATATAGGTTACACACAAAATAATACACAAAGTCGAGGATTTCTTGAATGAACCAATTTGAAATAATTATGTTGATATGCTTTGAATATAGTTTGTCACTTCGCTGAGTTTTCACGAGTCTCGTTGACCAGTTAGCGAGTCGGACAGTCAAGAGGGGGCGAAGTCCCCTTGCCTGGGTCCGGGGGCGCCGAGTTGGGCCCGTCCGACGGTGTGCAGTATTGAGCTTTTGAGTTGGTATTAGGCTGAGCCCGTGATCTATTTTCTTAGTTTTTTAAAGAGACTTAGGGATACTTAACCTAGCTTCAATAAAATTTGTTCTCCGTTTGTGCCCGTAGATGTAGCCAACACATTGTTGGTGAGGCACGTCAAATCCCTTCATAGTTTCCTAAACTTTGCATGAAACGTCAAACCCACCTGTGGTTTCCTAAATAGCCGACAACAGACAGATCGCAGACAGTATACAACAACAGAAACAGGTGCAAGATGTGAAATAGTCCTATATTACATATATGTATGTATATGTATATGTGCACCATAACAAGCAGTAGAAAAAAATTTATTACTGGTGAGACGAATCTCCAAGAAAGCTTACATAAAACACGCAGACACAAACATCATCTGCTGTGTATAGTCAGCCATAATCTTAACAACACATTTTATTCATGATAATTAGAACCTAACAGAACAGACATCACAACAGCACGTAGTAACGACGATCGATCCACATTAATTACTTCCTTCATTTTCTTACTGCACGTAGGCTCTATCGCTACCTCTTACCTTAAAAATACCAAAGTCGAAGGCGCGGCTTCTGCTGTTAAAAGGCAGAACCAGAGTCCTCGCTCCCGACCCGACTCCAATGCTCAAGTTGGAATCCTCGGTAGCTTCAGGGCAAATGTCTTCCGGGTTGTAAACAAACTTGTAGGAGTTCTGATATTTGCCCTTCTCTATCTTGAACCAGGTAGTAGTATATGGCCAGCAGCTAGGATCTCCGAGCGATCCGGCGAGTTGGATTAGTTGCCCTTCTGAGGCAGAGTCGGCGCTGCCAATGCGCCACACGATGGATCCAGTGCACGCCACCGGATATACTGACTTGATATTTAGAGACTCGGAGATATTGATGTGGGTTTGCGCGGGGTCTGCAGGATGGAAACTCCAAGGAATGCCTCTATTACGTTTGTCTCCTGATTGGGCAACTGTGATCTCGCAACCTTCGCTGTTGTAGTCGGATAGTAAAAGGCCGCCGCCGGAGCCTCGGAGGGTAGGCACAATGTAGTACTTGTTTCCGGCCTGCAGCAGGAGGCGCGGCATTAAGTATAAAAGTCATTTTGATGCAAAAGACATAATGCCGAGTTTTAGTGCAGAAAGTAGCACAAATATACTAAAATTGGAACAGGCTTGGCATGGTGTCTTGGAGGCGTGTAAGATGACGATTTAAATGACTGTTTCACTTAAAAATTTAAACTATTAAAATAAACATTATTTATTTATTTACTTACAAGGCTCTGATATCATGTAAGATAATGTAAACTGACAGTAACTCATCTAAAAGTTTAAACTCTTAAGAATATGTATAATTTATTTATTTATTTATCTAAAAACGAGAGTCACCCACAGCGCCAACATGGCTTTTTGAGAGTAGTGTATGCTCGGTTTGAAATTAAATTAATACAGAAAAATAGGAATAAAAAAATAAAAAAATCATCATATTAATTTCTTATTTGTTTCAAACAGGAAAATAATATATTAGAGAAATAAACTTTTTATGACAATCCTTAAATTAAATTAAATTCTATGCAATTTGAAATTGTATGTGTTCTTTTATATAACATTTTTACTATTATATATATAAAAAAAGTAATAATATCAAATCAACTATCTGTTTTTTATTTTTTTTATATTATATTAAAAATTAATTAATGTATATTCAAAACATCACATAAAATACTTATTTATATCATATTATACAATTATGCAAATTGAGAGTTCTTAATATTCAAATCACAAAAAAAAATCCAAACCCTCAAACAAACAAACTATTTTTCCTCCAAATATATTATATCAAACATATATTTTTCATTTTCGTAGAGTTATTAATTTGAGGCAATATATAGTTAGCTAAGTTAATTCAGGACCCAATTAAGTGAAGTTTACCATGAGATGATCTCCATCGGTGTCACGAACTGCAGCATCTTCTTCAGCAGCTGAGATTGTGAAGAGGAAAAGAAAACATAGAAAGAGAAAGAGGGCCTTCATTACTATGATCAATAATAGAGAGAGAGAGAGAGAGAGAGAGAGAGAGAGAGAGAGAGAGAGAGAGAGAGAGAGAGAGAGAGAGAGAGAGAGAGAGAGAGAGAGAGAGAGAGAGAGAGAGAGAGAGAGAGAGAGAGAGAGAGAATTGTAATAATTATGGGTAGGTTGTAAAAACAATAATGTGGTGTCTCTTATAGATAATGCTCGAAAAAACCACAGAAAAAATTTGCACGTTCTATGTCATTGAAGCAGCTGCAGCAAGGACACTGTCTTCATTAACGTTGGAACTAAATAAGGCCACCAACTTACTTACAAATGAGAAAAAAAAAAAGAATTCTTGCTTCTATATGTTATTACCGGAATTACAATGTGAAGTCTAAGATGAATCGTCCAAGTGTAGCGAAAATCCAAACTTATTAGGCTTTTACGTTGTTAGATGATCTGAATGACTGTCGCACCTAAAATATTTTTACCTATGGCTGATACCATGTTAAATAATTTAAATGACTGTCTTACCTAAAATGTTTTTACCTATGGATTTGATACTATGTTAAATAATTTGAATGGTCATTTTACCTAAAAATTTAAGATTGTTTGAGATATGTATAATTAATTTATCTATATATAGGAGTCAACCAACATAAGCTAGTGTCTATAAATATTGATTACACTCTCTCAAATCTTCACTTTACTTATACTAGTGATTATATTTGACTTAGCCACCAGTGGACATAAGTTAATCGATTTGGTCACCAAACTTTTGTCTTTTTTGTGTGTATGTTCATCTCGATTTCCATTACCTTTGTTTTTAGTCTTAATCTTGCACATTTCATTCTGTTGGTCCCGAAATTAATTTGATCCACGATCCCTTTGAGAGTATGAGCTAAAATCAAGCATTTTAAGTCAATATTGAAGGAGTCTATATATATGCTGGGTTCCACACCAAAGTGGAGGACGACTTGAATGAGCCACTTTGAAATATATACAATTACATGGATGAATTAAATAGTAAATAGTTCACTTGCATCCCGCTCATGAATTAAAAAAAAAAAAAAAAAATTAAATATTTTATTAAAAAAAATAATAAAAGAAAAAAGATAGTTAAAAATATTTCTTGAAAATTTTGTTGATAATTAAAGATAATAAAAATAGAGAATATAATAGATAAATAAATATTAAAATGAAGGATAATAGTTAAATATAATTTTTTTATTTTGTCAAAATTAATAATTTGATAAATTTAAAGAACAAAGTGAAAAGAAAAAGGTGAGGAAATATATACTCTCTCTCTAGGACGAAAATATTTATTTGAATTTTTTTTTAGTATATTAAAAATAATAATATTTAATTAATTATTGAAAACGAATAACATGATTTTGATTTTTTTTTCTTCTATATATTATGTATATCTTAGTGATATATTTGTAATTTAAATAAAGGATATTTGGGTAGTAATATGAGATTATATTTATTATAATAAAAAAATTAATATTTTTAAATGAGATACACATAATGATAAAAATGTAATTTTAGTTGGGATGAATGGAGTAAATTTGTGCACGATAGCAAGTAGTAGCTAGAAATTTATTTCTGGTTAGATGAATCTCCAACAAGACATACATAAGACACACACCATCTGCTGTCTATCTCTCCCCCAACAATCATCTCAAGAACAAGTTTTATTTATCGTAATAAGAACCCAAAGAGACAGAACAGCACAACAGTAGCAGCCATGGTCGATCCATGTAAATTTATTCCTTCACTCAATTCCTTACTGCACATAGGCTTTGTTACTACTACCTTCTGCCTTAAAGAACTCGAAGTCGAAGGAGATGGTGTTCTTGTCGAAGGGCAGCACAAGAGTCCTCGCTCCCGACGGGAATGCTAAGCTCAAATTGAAATTCTCGGTGGCGGGCGAGCAGATGTCAACAGGGTTGAACACGAACTTGTAGGTATCCGAAAATCTGCCCCTCTCGATCTTGAACCAGTTTTGGTATGTCGTGCAGCTAGGAAAACCGCGAGTTCCGGTGAGTTGGATTAGCAGCCCTCCAGAGGCGCTGTCGAGTGTGCCGATGCTCCATGAGGTGGCGTTGGTGCACGACGCCGGGGGGTTGGCTGCCTTGACATTGAGGGACTGGGAGACATAGATGAAGGCTTGCTCGGGACTTGGAGGATGGAAGCTCCATGGAATGCCCCTATAGAGGTCGTTACCTGATTGAACCACGGTGATTTCGCAACCTCCGGCGCTGTAGTTGGAGAGAAAAAGGCCGCCGCCGCCGGCACCTCGGATGGAAGACACAATGTAGTACTTCTCTCCGGCCTATATGATGCCGATTGCACGAATTGAGATAGCCGAGTCAATGTAATTTTCCAATAAAAAATTGAACGTATGATTATTAATGAAACTAGCTTCATTTTTACAATCAACTTTAACTCATTTGACACAATTTACTTTTGGAAAAACATCACATAAAATACATTTTCTGTCGCAAAATGTCAAATAAAATACTACTTTTTTACTTTTTTTTCAAAATTTTCAAAACTCTTCAAAATTTTCTGTCTAAACCGTTAATATTTATAGGTTCAAAAATCCTAAAATCTAAGAAAATAAATACAAAATAAGAAAAATTGGGTGTGTTTGTTTGTGGTTTTAGTTTTTGGGTTTGAACTTTTGAATAATAAAAAGTTGAATTTGAATAGTTGTTTGATGTGATATAAATAGAGGTTGAAATAATATTTTGAATTTAAAATAAATTTATATTATAATATAAAAAATAATAATTATTTGATGTGATATTTTTTAGGGAAGAAAAATATGAATAGTAAAAGGCTGCGTAAAACTCACAAGAGAGCACAACTGAGAGTTTTTATTTTGTTTTTTATTTAAGGTCGGACATCATCGCATCTTTCGTTCATCGGGCGTTTCAAATGAGAAGCGCGAATTTTGTCCATTCGAGGATACGGAAACAGGGAAAATTAGGCAAATTGCATCACTATAATTGTGAAAAAGATGATCAATTCAATTTTAATTCAATTCTACAAAATTGATTAGAAAGAAATGTTTTAGTGGAGTTATTTTAGTGGAGTGTACCTTCAGCTGATCTCCATTGGTATCAAAAACTCGCAAATCTTGGTCTTGAGCAGCTGAAATGGCGAAGAAGAAAAGAAAACACAGAGAGAGGAGAAGAGTCTTCATTATTATGATCAATAATTGAGAGAGAGAGAGAGAGAGTGTGTGTGTGTGTGTGATAATAACTATGGATGGAAGGTGAGAACGATAATGTGTTAGCTCTTATGGATGCTCCAAGTGACTACAGACAAATTTGCACGTTTTATTTCACTGAAACTGCTGCTGTTGTTGCTGCAAAGTAACACGTAAATAGGACCACAAACTTACAAAAAAGAGTGAATAATTTGTATTCATTTCAATAAAGAAAAAGATAAAGTAGGTGTGTTTGTCCTTGAGTTCGAAAGTCTAGATTGCACAGCCCATGCCAACTTAATGCATCCAATCCCATCAAAACTCTGGAGTTAAAAGTTTTTGGCTGAGAATAGTATTAGGATTGGTGACGCTGTGAAATAAGTTTGGAGGATTGAGATTTTTGTTTAAATAATAATCTCTCTGTCAAGTTAGAAAGTATGCGTATTTTTATTTTGAGACGGCCAATCACAAAATAAATACTCTAATACCAGGTCAACTCAACGGTAGTATAATATTATCCGTTTTGGGCTTAACCTGCGCAGATTTGTTTTTGGACTTACTCCAAAAGGTCTCATACTAGTGGAGTTCACTTGGAACTTATAGTGTACAATTTTCTTCACAACTTCCGATGTGGGACTTGGGTTTGCACCCCAACATTATATTATAGCGTCGATGGGTCGGTGCATTAACTGCCATATGATCAAATGTGGGGGTGGACCCGTGACCGGGTTCAAACCCCGATATCTTTAGGTCTGACTTACTACACATGGTTCACCTAGTTTGACTTACTTTGTTGGGCAAGTTTGCATACTATTAGGTTCAACCGGGGTTTATCCGCACTTGTCAAATAGCGACTGTGGATTCCCACATTATTAAATATATATATATATATTGATTGATTGATTTTAGTAAATTGTAGGAAATGCTTTTCTACAACAAACACACTTTATATAATTTTCTAGAGAATAAATAGTGTGATGGTCCCAGAAATATTTGAACACATGCATTAAACACCGTTCGCCAATTGTTCAATTAATTTATCGATAAATGGGTGGTGGTCCCCAAAGTGAACATCCTACGCAAAAATGCATAATAATTTTATCAATCATAGGTTGATACTTACACGGATTTGATTTAATGGTTGTGAATTCATAAGGATAATGCTGGTTCAGACATATTCTGAATTTAAAATTACTTCTAAGATATGTTTTAAAGGGTAAATTTTAATACAGAATCATGTGTTGTATGGTTTTTTAAAAAATTCCTTAATTTAATTTATTGCATACTTAACATTTATAATATGGAAAAATCTACACGAAATCCTCATTTTGTTTCTAATTAATGGAACGTTCGATCCATTCATGTGCTTGTCTTATAAAGAAAATATCCAAATATTTTATAAAAAAAACCGTAAATATCTTTGTAGATGTGAAAATTTTGTTCAAAACAAACAAATTTTCATTGTACTGGTACTTAATAATACCAAAAATTTAACTTTACCATCCGTCTACAGCACTAATAGCTTATTTGAGCTTAACCATCTTCAGTTTCCTCGTAAGCCAACTCTGTCCGTTGCCATCTCCCCCTTCTCATCCTCCTATCAGCGGCAACTCGAACTTGGACATGCCTCCACAAATAAATTCCGATCTTTTGCTAATAAATGTGCTTTATGGTCAATTCATTTTGAGTCTTTTAATTGCTTGCATTGTAAATTTAGGAAACAACCAGCCATTCCCTTTCCAAATAATATGTCTATTTCCGATATAACATACTTTTGTTATATTCTGACATTTGGGGGCCATCAACACTTGATTAATGGGTTCCATTACTTTGTGATTTATATTGATGATTACTCTCGTTATATCAGGATTTTTTACGAAAAACTAAACAAGGGCATGTACATGTGCAAAAACTCATATTCAGACTTAGGGCTTGATAATTGCTTTATTTGGCAAGATCTAATTTTGCTTCAAAGCCCAAAATTCAGCCACTAAATAATTTGTTTCTAGACTTATTTTACGAAAGTTAAATACATAGAGCCCGAATACCGGCAGTTTCTTGGCATTAATAGCCGGTCGATTTCTGGCGATAAGGGGATTGAATACCAATATGGTGGATGACCTACAAATGGGCTTCTCATCCCACTTCTCAAATCACATCAAAACTCACAAATCCTCCTCTCCTCTCTTCCATCTCTTCTTTCATTTCCGGTCCAAGTTTCCGACAATATTTTCTGGCAAGTTTCTTCCTTTTTCAAGGCGCAAATTGTTCTTCTTTATTTTGTTGGTCGGAACTCCAAATAATGTATGCCATGAAAATATTCTTTTTTGGCGATAATGTATGCCATGTTCTCAAGAATGTGAAATTCAAATTTGGATTATATTAATGTGGGATTGAGATATGGGCATAAAAAAGAATATGCAAATCAATATTCAACCCAAAACTCAGAATATAACAAATTGTTTTAGGTCAGGTTAAGGTCAGTTTTTTATTTTGTTTCAAATTACCCGATAACCTACCTGAATGAACTCAACATAATATAAACCCAAAAATATAAAACCGATATGAAACTGACTCGAAAACAATAATAAAACTAAACACTCTAAATGTTATTAAAAAATTGAATTAACATAAAAGTAAAAATCACATACCTAAAGATTTAATATTGCATACATATTCAAATGGGAAAGGGTAACGAGAGTTTTAGCTGTCTTTCTTTTAATATGTTGTTTGATATTATTGCATTGAAATTCAAATGGGAAAGGGCAACACTTTAAGTGTGCTGTTTGCTAATTTGTTATGTATTGATTGAGAAAATCAGAATCAACATGATAACCATTCCGAAATATAATTATTTTGAGATGAATTTCCAACATAGCATACATTGGGAAAATATATCCCTCCTGTATATCCGATCATTTTTTTTGTTTATTTATCGTGCTGTCAAAATATATCCCACATGTTTGCAAAAGTTGATATTTTTGTCCTTTGGCTGCGTGATTGCACGTGACCGAGCATGGTGTGAATGTCACACGCTCACACGCTGCGAAATATAAAAATAACGACTTTTGAAAACATGCTGTATATATTTTGCGAGACAGATAGTGGAGTATATATGGGGATATTTTTTGCAATTTTTTTTAGCATACATTACATAGCACACACATCATCTTAAGAACACGTTTTATTTATCGATCGTAGTTAAAAGCCAACAGTATATATAGTATGTCATGATCGATTGATGTTTAATTATAATTCATTCACTTCCTTACTCCACGTAGGCTTTATTATTATCATTATTACCTTATGCCTTAACGAACACGAAATCGTAGGGACGGTGGCTCTGGTCGAAGGGCAGCACAAGAGGCCTCGCTCCCTGCAGCCTAAGAGTCTCAAGTCCCGAATCTGTTGGAATAATCAAGTCGTATTTCTCGTTGGGGACATCTGAGCAGACGTCGAAAGGATTGAGGGGCACCAACCCCAAGCTCTCAATTTTATTTCTTTTTTTAGTGTAAAAATAATTTGTTTTATTATAGAAGTTATACTATCTGTCTCTCAAAATACTAAGGTTATTACTTTGTAATGTCTTTATTATTTTTTTTCCTTTTCACCCCTTACTTCTGTGAATCAATAGCATACCAACTGTTAGCCCTTCAAAATTTGAGAACTCATTGTGCCAGTGCCCTCTCACGTGGAAGGTGAATTTATTCTTACATATGAATATTGCATGTGGAGGATAATGAATAGGGGTGATGGAACTTGACCTGGGGTGATTCTAAGTTGAGAGGTCATTTAACATGATTCAATTCAATTCTACAGAATTAATTAAAAAGAAATGTTTTAGTGGATCATCTTTGAAGACACTGGCGGAGCTAGTAGAGGGGCTGAAGTGTGTTCGTCCCCTCCTAATTATTTGAGTTTTGTATTTCTATTCTATAATATTTGCATAATTTTTAAAATTTAAATAATTGGTCACTCCTACAAATTTAATAAAAGTATTATTATTGTTTTTTATATTTAACTCAAACATTTAAAAAATTTGGTTCAAATGCTCAAAATTTTTAGAAATATTCTAAAAAACTCAGATAAAAAGCAAATTTTTTGTAATTTTTTTTAATTCTTTTATTATAATATATAATTTTAAATTTATTATATTATTTATATAGAAAAAATTTTGGCCCCGCCAAAAAATGTTTTTGGCTCAGCCACTGGTTGAAGACATGATTAGTGCAGTGCAGTGTACCTTAAGTTGATCCCCTTTGACGTCCAAAACACGAAAATCTTCGTCTTCAGAAGCTGTAATGGCGAAGAGGAAAACAAAACACAGGGAGAGGAGAAGGGTCTTCATTAGTTACTATGATCAATAATATATATATATATATATATATATATATAAAGAGAGAGAGTCCAAGAGGCTATGACAAATTTCCACGTTTTATTTCACAAAGGTGGATCAATGAAGTTATTAATTCATCAAACTGAGTTTTAATTATCTTTTGATTTTAAAATCATTATTACAAAATTAAAGCCTATGATATTTATAGTTTAGCATATGCAAACTTTTATTACAAGTTAGCATACAATTCAAGGTCTTTTTTGTCACTGAAGATGGGACTACAACATTTCTTTATTCATTTTTTTCAAAGAGAGAGCGAAAGAGTACATTAGGGTGCGTTTTCTGGGTTTGAATTTCGAAAATTAAATTTTAAATATAAATGTTATTTCATATGATATAAATAAGCATCAATTTGATATTTTAAATATATTGTTGATTTTTACTATAAAATGAAGAATAAAATATAATTATTAGATTTTATATCATTTTAGGTAAGAGATTTATTGAAGAGTAAAAATCCCTTAAAAAGACCCAAAGGAAACACATCATAGACGTTTGTTGGCTTTGATTTTGGTTCTGTTTCTTTGGTTTTGGTTTTGTTTGAATAAATGTTACTCTCCCCGCCTCACTTATGGTGTCTACATTGCCGTCCATCTCATATGTCACTTTTATTTTTTGAAAAATAATTATATATTCAATCTCATTTTAAATTTTAATACACTAATTAGTTATT